CCTCTCCCCCTCTCTCTCCCCCTCTCTCTCCCTCTTTCTCTTCCCCCTCTCTCTCTCCCTCTCTCTCTCTCTCTCTCTCTCTTTCTCTCTCTCTCTTTCCCCTCTTTCTCCCTTCCTCTCTCCCCCCCTCTCTCTCTCCCCCCTCCCCCTCTCTTTCTCTCTCTCTCCCCCTCTCTCTCTCTCTCTCTCTCTCTCTCTCTTTCTCTCTCTCTCTCTCTCTCTCTCTCTCTCTCTCTCAGCAAACTGGGGCATTTTGACGAGATACGAAACGTGATGATTACTGATTAGGTATAATATATGCGTGTTGTTTTTTTATGCACAGGCCAGAATACGCGTTAAGAATCGGAAGCGAAAAGCGGACGAGGCGTCCTGTCCGGTTTGCAGCGAGAGGCTGTCGGGCACCCCGGAGGAATTGAATCAACACGTCGACCGATGCCTGAACAAGCAGAACAACGGGAACCCGGCCGGGCAGAACGCGAACGTCGACGAGGAGGAAGTCGACGTCGAGGGCGACCCCGAGTACGAGGAGTACGAATGGGCCGGCCAGACAAGAGTGCGCGCCACTTCCATGCTCGTCGGTGGGTTCTCCGGTAAGTCCATTTGCGGCGCTAAATTACACGCGCATTTATTATGTCACGCGCAGAATTGTGCAAATATTTGTATTAAATTTGCGGTTATTAAGCACGTATAATGCACGACTTTATATTTACCTAAAAACGTCAGATCAATAGGACGTTAAATATATTTATGGGAAAGCGCAAAATAAATGTGCGCTCGATAATTACGAATTGTACGACATATGTCATAATCGTATATTTATTTAGTTTTCCTTTTGAAATAAAAAAAAAACATTTCGTATTGTTTGAGATTACCTAATGTAGAGTGACAGTAGAATATGAACTTCCGTAGCAAAAAATACTTTACACCGATTGCAAATTTAGATACTTTTTAAGAAAAATTAGTCTGATATTTTATATGCCACAAAAATTTTAAATCTTCTATAAATCCATAGATAGCTACATTCAACTTTTCTTCAATTAACCCAATTTCTTTTACATATCATATTTTTAGAGATATATTTGTGTAGATTATAACAGAATAAAAAAAATCTGACCCAGGATGAAAAAGAAAATTTAAGTATACGTACATTGTCCGGTGTTGTTGGTAATATGTGCCTCTATACTGTTAAATATTGAAGGATGAAATTTAAACCAATGCCTTGAGTTAAATAACATTTTGTTATTTTTAACTACCATGTGTGTCGAAATTTATTATTTTAACACAAAACAGTATTGAGTAACAGCAGTGACAATCCTATAGGAATGTTCAAAAATTACTCAAATTGAGTACAATTCGACCTTATGAATTTAACAGTGTAATTTCTCCTCAAGTTTTCACTTTCACGCGTCGTTCCGCACCGAAACGCGCTGAGAGTTCGCCGCTCTTCTGCTTCGCAGCTGCAGGCCTCGCCACTTCCTCGAGCAACCGCGGCGGTGCCAGGGGCGGGGGCGGCAATCACGAGGACGAGGACGTTGATCTGGTGGTCGACGGCGACGACGCCGCCGAGTTCGGGCCCGCCCAGTACTCCGAGGCGGATGTGGTCGCGCCGCGGGTCGACGGCACGCCGCGCGAACAGAAGGAACGGGACGCGCTTCGCGAGGCCGTCATCTCGCCGAACGCGCCGCACACGCCACAGCAGCTGACCCCGGACTCCGGACTGACGGCACAGGGCCTGGTCGAGGTGAAGCCGGAGCCGGGCGCCGCGACGCCCGTCGCCCAACAGAACGATCCCGACGAGGGTACCTCCGTGTCGCCCAGGAGGGACGGCGACACGCCCGTCATCGAGGCCCTCCGCGGCCGCATCCGCGAGCTCGAGGCGGAGATGCGCGTGCAACCCTTCAAATGTCTCATCTGCATGGTGAGTTAATCAATCTCGATTGTGAATAAGGCGGGATTTCTGAATTGCGTCTCTGATTCAAGAAACACTCCGGCGTTTAGTTTTAGACAGCAGTGAACTTGTAGCGTGACTGTACAAAGTTCATTTAACGTTATTCCAGTGTCATTGCAATAGTATACACAGAAAAAAATTAATCTTTAATTTAATCAAGACGAATATAAAGCAAAAACATATAATTTTCTTAAAAGAATTTTATATTTTTGTATTTCAAAAATGTTATAATTTAATTTGAATATTATACAATTTTAATTGTATAATATTTAATTTGAATATTATACAATTGTTACATAAAGAGTACAATATGATTATTTTGATAGTGATGTCTTTTTCTTCTTGATTGTAACAAAATAAAATTAAATCAACATTATATGTGTTCACGTAAAGAATATAAAGATTAAAATTTACATGTCAAAAGTAAAGATAGGGTAACTCGGGGGAATATGCCATACTTAAGAAAAATATGATTTTTTTTCCTATTTCTCTTTCTTTTTGAGGTATCTTTGCATACTGGTCTTCTTTTTCCTTCTTTTATCTGTTATTTATATATGGTTTTAATGAAATATTTTGATTGTTTACTATTAAAAAGAAAGAAATACAAAAGTGTTGCAAAGTGGCATACTACCCACCCATGTGGGTAATATGCCACATAGCATGCGATAATATGCCACATATACAAACATGTATAGTAATTTAACTTTAGAAGGGCATTCTAATCTAAAAACATGTGAAAGAATATTTTTATTACTTTCTTTGCATTTCAATAATACTCTGTGTGCTACAAGTAGTCTAAATTATTCGGAATGCAATTTTGCAAAATCAAGAGACACGGTAGTGTCTCGCGCCAAGTAAACGCGGAGCGAGACCGACCGTGACTCTTTTACGCGACGCGACGGGTTGCGAGTACCCGAGATGTTGAGATCTTGATAACGAGTGAACGGATCAAGTTCTAAGTAGGCTTGATCGATAGCTTGGGGTCCAATTAGGGGGGGGGTTTCTCTCATAATATTCCGCTACGTGCCCTACGAGCGGAGATATTGCGACGCAAAGTCCAAATGTAAAAATTTTAATATTAAGATACTTCTTCTCCTAACGCTGACGTCTTATATGACATATATAATCAGAAATGTCACTTTCACTTTTTTGACGCTGGCGGCGCAGGTATCGCCAGTTTCAATATCGCGCGCGTATTTCGAAATTAGGTCGATAGACTTATCGGTCAGGAGGAAGATTTCTATTTAGGTAAATTAGGTATATATATATATATATATAATATATATTGAGTCAATTGCTTTGTCATGTTTATCTGGAGAGATTTCGTATCCTCATTACATCGTATTACCACCGCTGCCGGAAAAGAAGGTTCTCTACGCTTGGCAGAAAATGCCGCTAGGGAATTTTTAAGTCGATTCTTATGAATCAAGCTTGAATTCGATGTCTAGGTATCCCAGGTTGCTGATGACGAGGTCCAGATAGTGCGCTCCATAGTTTTCGGTGTCCAGGTGTAATAATACGTTGAATTCGATGTCT